TCCAGCACTGTGAGCTTTCCCTGCTCTGCTTTTAACCACTGGGAGCCCAACAAAGGCACCAAACCAAACCCCCAAGCAGAGCCAGGAGCTCTCAGGGGCCAGGAATTAAACCAGAGGTGTTGATTTATTCTCTGTGAAGGAGGAGAGGATGAACAGGAAATCTGAGCAAAGATTACTGGACACAACACCCAGCAAGAACTGGAAATCCTGAAAAATATCCAAATATCAAAATCTCCAAAAAGAGCAAACAGAGGAGGAAGAGAGAAGTTTGGGGGTGCTCACGGAGGATCTGAACTGCAGATCCAGCACTGTGTCCTCTCCCTGCTCTGCCCAGGATCCTGTTCAGAGCTGTCAAATCCCCGGAGCTCAGGAAGCAGCTGCAATATTTTTATCATCCTGGGAGCAAATTGCAGCGTTGCTTCTGCTCAGTGCTCTGTGATTCTGCTGAATTCAGTTCAGGGAATCCTGATTTACACCCGTTTAATGACTGTAAAAGTCACTTTTTGGATATCTAAGCTATCCTGCCACACGATGAAAACTGCCTGGAAGAGTGAGAAGACCTTGTGTGAGCCCAGGATGCAGTTTGAATCAATCTCTTATTGTATCCTCTCTGTATCTCAGCCTTGAATGTAAAAAATCCCAAAATCTAAGACGGATAAATAAGTGTAGGAGGAATAAAGCATTATCCTGCTGGAAGTGTCTAATTGGAAGATCAACATCACACAAAAACTGCCAAATCATTTAAATTTYCTTTTCTATAGACWGTTAACAGCAAAATCTAAATTCAGRCTCACAACTGGAATAAAAACCTCACTCTAAATGTCTGAGATGGCTGTTGGTGATAACAGCTAGACTGCYACATTAGTTTTAATTTTCTCAGATTGCAAATTGAGATCTTTCAGGAGTACTTCGTGTTCTCTTGTTGGCAGGGCAGAGATAAATKAAATGTATTAAATCAGATATGAAAAAGTTGTCAGATAAATGTGATCAGGATGTGGAGTCCAATAATAAACTTAAAACATGGACAATATTCCACAAAATTTGCCCCCAAACTTCTGAATTAACACCATGATTTCCAACTTTTCTAGGAACCAACAGCACAATCCTAGGAAGAATCAATTAGGAGCAAATTCCAGATCAAGGAGAAGTTGAACACGAGCTCAGAGGTCACGAGCTCAGACCCCTACAGCATCTCCCTGCCGAAGAATCAGCATTTATAAAAAACTCAGCTCCTGGAAAAGTGGCAGCAGAACCCCCAATCTCAAGTATGCATAATCAGCAGTTGCTTAGGAAATTCTTGGCAGCCGTGTGCACACGAGAACAAAGCTACATCTGTGAACAAAAAAGCCCGAGGAACACGTTCTGCAAACCCCTAAATGCTATTTCCAGCCCGGAATACAGACATTCCCCAGCCATTCTGCCAGCAASCCGCAGTAATTTTAGTGCAATGTTTGTTTCCAAGCTCTTGAAAGCACCTACTCTTGAGTAAAGGACCAGGAATAGCAGCTGCCATCTTTACCCTGTCTACAGCAATTATTTTTTATTTTTTCCCCCCTCTTGAAGCTCAAAAAACGAGGCACAGACTGGATGGAAAGCGAACAAATTTTTCTAAATTCTCCCCCTTTCAGCATATGGTTTAGTTTCAGTTTCTTCCAGGCCAGAACAATATGCTTTACAGGAGGCAAGATGACGAATGCTTCAGTTTTGGGTTCAGTTAAAACAAACAACTTTCCCCAAAAAGCACATGCTTTGTCTCAAAGTGACGTTTGGTAAAAGCCTCGGTGTCCAGATTACGTTACATCACTGCAGGTCAGCTCTGATGGGGAAAAAGGAGATTTCCCTTAACCCTCCCCTTGCCATGGCTCCCATGTGCTCTGAAAAACCCCAAATTCAGGTTCTKTTTGCACCATCTCTAAAYCTCTTTGCAGTAATCAAGTAATCARACTYGAGTGATGSAGAGAATTTTGTTTGTGGAGGAWTTWWKRAAMMRRAAMMAMCCCCCWCMMMAA